AGTGTTCCCGAATGGCAAAGGAGAGTATTGCGTTCCTGCTTCGCCGCGCGTGTTCCACAAATCACGCATGCCAAAGGTTATGGTGCTCGCGGTTTGTGCTCGTCCGCGGCCTGTATGACTTCGATGGCAAGCTTGGTCTGTGGAGTTTTATGCTGGAGAGGCCTGCAAAGTGCAGCAATGTACGCACAGGCACCGTGGTCGGCGAAACCATGCTTCTGGAGGACGTGCGAGTCGACGCGGAAGCGGACAGGCAGAAAATCGTGGGCAACAGCGGCATGTTTGCGAGTATGCGACAGAAAATGTGGTGGTTCCACAAGAATGCGACGTATACAAGCAGCGATGCTGGCACACGTCAACCATGTGGAACGCTCATGGCTGGAAAGTGAAAATTTGGGAGACCGCGTGGCTCAAAGAAGTGCCCAGAAGCCGGCCTGCCACTGCTGTACCAGCACGATGGTGCACGTCTGCACACAGCCAAAATCAACGCATGTGTGTTTGCAGCGCAGGGGAAAGCAAAAGGGTTCGACATTCAGGTTGTTGTTCAGCCAGCGCAAAGTCCCGATCTCAACGTCGACGACTTGGTGTTCTGCCACAGCCTGCAGACAGACGTGTCTCTCGTGGCGAAGGAAGCCAGAAAGGAGCCTCTGCAGGCTGTGGAAACGTGCTGGCACGAGTACCCCACTGCCAAGATGCGGAGCGTTTAGCACTGTTTGTATGGCTCCTTCCATGGCATTTTGGAGAGTGGCGGAGACAACAACTACCAGCGCCACCGTGGAGGTCGTCAAGCTCACAGGTCGAGCGAAGAACTTGGCGATCTCCACGATCAAATCGTGTCTCGGCAACTTGTGAAGGCTGCGGAACAAAAGCTGACAGCGCTGGAGGTGAAAGTCAGTGAGAGGCAGACTCGATGTCATCAGCGAGTGAGTCATCGTCAGATCACTGCTCGCCATGAAGAGGTGAAGACGTCTGAGCCATTTTGCAACTCTGTACGGCTAGGCTTTTAGCCATGTCAACAAAACCCAAGTCCTTCGGGCACACCAAAACGGACGTATTCTATGACACCTGCAAAACAGGCAAGAGAGCCCTCTATTCCTTTGTTTGAGGCCTGAAAGAAACTGCTTCAAGATACACCACACCTATGAGGAGGATCAGTGTTTTTTTCCCTAAAATGCACTGGTGCCGAGTTGTGGGCCTTTTCTTGCAGGCCAGCTTTAGACCACCCCTTACCTACATTCCTCAGAACAGGAAAGGGTTAATGACGCCATCATGATGTCACCAACTTCTCTCTCTCCTTTTCCCTTTTAATTTATTTTTACTTCACCAAAATGCACAGGCATTTATGCCTTCTTACCGGATGATGAAAATTCAGTGAAACGTAACTCTGGAACGCCTGATCCGATCAACCTGAGACCTTCACCATTAGAATCAGTGCATTTTTCGCTACAGATTGTGAATTAATGCACATTGGAGATGACATGTTATTTCAGGGCATTTGTCTTCTATTATAATCCACCACATGACTCTAACCTGATTTCAGCAATGTCTTGCTTGCTGATCGAGTCGAGCGATTTGAGTGCACTTTCCAGAGCAGGTTTGGCTTTCTCCACTGCCTCGGTTGCTTTCTGTAGACACCAAGCCAAGAATATATGAAACAAAACAAACACATCATCAACACACGAGGTACACAGCATCAACTTCAATTCCATGCCCTTGAATTCAATACTGAAACCATAACTGCAGAGTGGGAGCAGCAGCACCTGCAGCAACAGCAGCAGAAGCGTTGACACACATTAATTTCCTGATTGGAGGCTCCCCTTTTCTCCGTCTGCCTGTCACATCATCTCCCCCTCTTATCACATACATGTACATGTATGTGCATTGTGGCATGTGTGTTTATAGATCTATTTCAGACAATTTCATTCTTACTCACATCAACTTCAATCTCAAGGCTGGCCTTCTCTCCGTCGAGTTCATTTCGCTCCCGTTCGATATTTCTACCTTGTTCATCGATATTAGTTTTCTTAGCAAGAAGATCCTGTAACAGCTGGTCCATATCCTTCACAAACAAACAGAGCAAGAAAGATACAACACTAACTGTTGTCACATACTCTCCTCAAAGTCAAGAAAGACAGGTACTACATTGTAGCACAAGAAAGGTTTAGGATGTCATTGTGAGAAACAGATGCACGACAATGCAGCTGGAACCTTGGCAGAATGAGACTGTGCATATTTCAGGGAGGTTTCTGTGCACACTGGTTTGGCTCGGAAGTCCACCATTAGAGGTCCAGTCACCATTAGAGGTCCAGTCACCGTTAGAGGTCCAGTCACCGTTAGGGGTCCGAGGTCCAGTCACCGTTAGGGGTCCAGTCACCGTTAGGGGTCCAGTCACCGTTAGGGGTCCAGTCACCGTTAGGGGTCCAGTCACCGTTAGGGGTCCAGGCACCGTTAGGGGTCCAGTCACCGTTAGAAGTCCAGTCACCGTTAGAAGTCCAGTCACCGTTGGAAGTCCAGTCACCGTTGGAAGTCCAGTCACCGTTGGAGGTCCAGTCACCGTTGGAGGTCCAGTCACCGTTGGAGGTCCAGTCACCGCTAGAGGTCCAGTCACCGTTAGAGGTCCAGTCACCGTTAGAGGTCCAGTCACCGTTAGAGGTCCAGTCACCGTTAGAGGTCCAGTCACCGTTAGAGGTCCAGTCACCGTTAGAGGTCCAGTCACCGTTAGAGGTCAAGTCACCGTTAGAGGTCACGTCACCATTAGAGGTCACGTCACCATTAGAGGTCAAGTCACCGTTAGAGGTCGCGTCACCATTAGAGGTCAAGTCACCGTTAGAGGTCACGTCACCATTAGAGGTCAAGTCCCCGTTGGAGGTTCGATGAAGACCACCTATCTACTACTCACCTTCTTCTTTTCATCCAGCTGTGGCTGGAGAGTTTCAATGTCCTTCTTCAGCTTCTCGATGTAACCGGAGGAGGAAGCAAGTTGTTCTCCACCCTTCTCCAGGCGATTTCTGGACAGGAATGAGATGTACATATTGAGCACGCATTGTTAGCGCCTTCAGTAAAGTAACACGTTTCTTTACCAAATAGCAAAAGTCTCCTCTGAAAAAACAATAGGTGTGTTTCATTACAATCATAGTCTGGTAGAATGTCTAAGGTTGTACTGTGAGATAGACAGCTTCTACAAGCCACTACGATGTACATGACTGTACTCACTTTCTTTCTCCCCAGTGCTCGCCCATTGCGTGCAGCTGTTTCAGGTAGGTCTGAATGAACAGCTGGTAGATGTTGGGCGTGATGTACATCATCTGCCCACCCATATCCTCCACCTCCTGCTGCAGCTTACACGCCTCGTTGTGCATGCGCACACAGGCCCGCACAGCTACTTCGCGTAACTTCTACATGCAGCATCAGTCACATCAACACAACACATACAGACCAGACATCAACAACTGTTTCTGAGTTTTCAGAGAGAATTCCGAATCTGTACTACAGAACACCTTTGGTAGCAAAAGAAGAGCCCCTCTGAATTTTAATTGTACTTTAATATGACTTGCTTTGAAACGGACACCAGCCTAATTCATTGCATACTGGTACCAAATAGTACACTTCAGCGAGTTTCTCCAAAAAATGCCCCCGGCGAAACCAAATTTTTCACTTGTGGATTCAATAAAATCATCCTTTCTGACTATGCACAAACAAATTCAGTAAAAAATTCCCCAGCATACCGAAGATACGAGCCCTCAAAGACAGCATCACAAACACAACCGTAAGACGTGTCCCAGTTTGCCTCAGCTTCAAAAGTTCCTTTCATCAATCTACGTACTTGGTCCAGCTCATCGCAATTGTCGCTTATCTCCCACGCACTTTTTGACGGGCAAAAGCCAGTCAGATCGCTTTTTCTGACTCACTTTTGTGTTTGAAGTTGTGATGGCAAGATCAGAGAAGTATTCTAAGAAAAAACCACCACGATTGTCGCGAGTGGCATCGCGCATGGCGGGTTTAGCTACACCAAGTAGCAAGCGGACGCGCGCACCTACACCGCGAAAGAAGTGTGCAGATGTGAAAACGCCGGATCGCTGGAGGATTGTCACCGCGTACCTTGAGCTCTGCAAGGGCCGTGATTGCCTGCCACGAGGTTCCATGGCCAGTCTGAAAGCCCGTTTTCCTCACCTCAATCGCACGGCAAGGACGGTACAAAGAATAGTCGACCTGTACAAGACGCAAACTATGGACGCGGAGGCTGCGGGGAGAGTCCGCCTCACACGTCGACGTGCCAGCTTGTCTGGAGGCCAAAACATTGTACTCACCGAGGAGCTTGCGAAGAAGTTGATTGAAATCAACGACAAGCATTGGGGTAAGCTGTCTTGTCAGAAACTTGCAGGCGAGCTCACTTGCGCTGGCTTCCCTAGCAGCACATCCTCCGTGAAGCGCTGGTGCAAAACTCTGGGTGCGACACGCCGTCGTCGCTACATAAAACCACTTCTCAGCCCCAAACATCAGCACGATCGTCTTTCTTGGGCGATCGAGCACTACGAAAAGAGCAGGAGGAAGTTTGTCGACAACAACAACATTTGCCACGGGGATGAGAAGTGGTTTTACCTCATTAGAGATGGTACTGTTTGCCGTGTGTTCCCCCAAAATGTTGCAAACGAAGATGGAGTTGTGGAGCAAGTCGTGAACATGCCAGCTGATCCGCGTGTGTATCACAAATCGCGGATGCCAAAAGTGATGTTTTTGGCAGTCACAGCTAAGCCGCGTGATGCGTACGAGTTCGATGGCAAAGTCGGTATCTGGCCATTCACACTAAAGCGAAAAGCCAAGCGCAGCAACCCGAAAACAGGAACTGTCGCTGGCGAAACTGACATCCTCGAGAGTGTCACCGTGACTGCCGAAGAGTACAGGAGTGTCATGCTAAAGAAGAACGGTGTGTTTGATGCCATGAGAGAGAAGCTATGGTGGTTCCATCGCGATGCAGCGACTCCTGAAGCTGGCAAGCCATTGTTTTACCAGCACGACGGAGCCAGGCCCCACACCGCGAAGGCAAATCAACAGCACTGGATTCGACATGGTGTGAAGAAAGGTTTCAACATTCGTGTTGTTACGCAGCCTGCGCAGTCACCCGACTTGACCTGCAATGACCTTGCATTCTTCGCAAGTCTTCAGACTGATGTCGAGATGGTGGCGAAGAGAACTGTGACGGACCTGGTGGCGGCAGTTGAACAGTCGTGGTCAGAATATCCAGTGGACCGTATGGCAGCTGTATGGAGAGTTCTTTATGCCTCGTTCAAAAGCATCGTGGAAACGCACGGTGACAATAGCTACAGTCACCACACAGGGAGCCGCGCTGCCCACAGTTCTTCAAAGCGCAGAGGTGACAGCCACAACCGCTTCTTTCCAATCTCTGCTATCCGCCAGGCTGAGAAGGCGAAAGAAACAATGGCCCAGCAGTTGGACACGCCAGCAACTGTCAACTCAAGCGACAGCAGCTCCAGCGATGCTGAATCGGATGAGTAACTCTTGTCTTGACTTGTATGTATCTGTGACCTCGCGTGGTTTGAAAAAAAACTTGCTATTTTTCGCTACCTTGCCGCCTTCAGCGGACTCGCTACGCTCTGTACAATTGCTGAACCTGTTGTATCTCATTTGAATGTCTTTATGAGTTGTTCTTCTGTACCGTAACGGCTGGGTTTGTCATAAAGCGAAGCAAACTTCAAGTTTTGGACTGTCAAAGATAAGCGACAATTGCGATGAGCTGGACCAAGTAGTAAAGATTTCGGAATGTCGGTATGCTTACAAAATTCACGTGAAAACGCCTGTACCTCCGGTGCCCCGTTTTTCTCTGCTGCTTCGCTCTCAGGCTCAAAACTGAGAGCTGGCCCCTGCCATGCACAGCCATGTGCAGGCTCTGACAAAGCTTAGTCAAACGGTTTCCAAATGGAAAGGAGACGATGCTGCGAATGGGCACCATTTCAACGCGTACAACAGCAGCAAGGGCCTGAAAAATGCCCGTTGTTCTCGACCTATGACTATGAGGCAGAAGCCCCCCCCCCAAAAAAAAATAATTGCCCGCTCTGTGACGCGAGTGGACTCAAACGAAACAGCTCAGTACATCACCTGTTTAAACCCATGGACTTCCTGTGCCTCCATGCCACGTGAGGGCGATGGCATTTGATGCAAGTTGCGCTCCCGGGCAGATACCACGTACATATACCAGTCGGGGAGATGTCCTATCTAGGACATCGCACTCTGAATGAGTCTGATTGGTTACCTGTCCCAGAGTTGTCATGGAAGCGTCGGTCGCACACACGCAATGAAAAGAAGTGCTGCGTGAGCATTTCTGAATGTATGTGGAGGATGCACGATCGTAATGGCGATGGATTTCTTTCCGAATTGGTCAGGTTTGAGGGAATAGGCGGAGAATATCAGACATCGGTGGGGATTGAGGTAGTGTATATTCGATTCGCCATCGAATACCCGACCGAATGGCCGTTTTCGTTTGGGGATTTCATGTGGGGTTTCTTGTAGCCACGCGGCGCTTCTTTGGAAACGATTGGTTCTAATTTTGAATGTTCTGCCTTTGGAATGTTTCTTCACGCCCCGTGCATTCATTTCGCCCCAAACCTGGCCATGCAGAGGAGGAAGACGAGGCAGCAGGCGCTAGGCCCGTAAATTACTGCCTGGAAGATATTATTCGGTCAAAGCTTGCTGTTGGCGTTTTTGATTTCTTGGATACGACAGCTCTTGGCTAAAACTGGACCTTGGACGGTCTTTCTTGGATATCAACCCAGGACGTGGTGGTCATGGACGTATCGCCATCGCTTTCAGCCAGATCCTTCTGCTGCCTGAAACCAATGGCGAATGTAAAAACTTTATCGCAGCAGCAGCTACTGCTCTGCTGAAAGTGCGAACACAAATTCAAAGTGCTTCGCCAATCCTCTTGTGCACTTGCAATTTTCAATGAGACCAAAACGATTCGCTTGCCAGTTCCTTTGTCCAGGCGTATTCCACAACGAGAAAAATAAAATTCGTGAAGGCAAGATACGAATCTCGACTCGCTTGAGGCAAGCCGCCAGGAGAACAACTTTTGAGACGAAAGCCCTCCGTTGCATTTGTTTTGAGTGCGACATGTTCATCTTCCTCGGACGCGACACAAAGTTTTGAGTCACGTGTCATGATTACTATGGGAACAGCATAGTATGTATGCTGGGGCATGCTGGGTTCCGTGATGTCCTATCTAGGACATCACCAGGACTGATATACACTGCGGCCTTAGGCCCCTTGCACACTACGTACAAGTAAAAAGTTGCTTTTTAGCGTATGCGTCAATTTCAAGCAAGTCCCGATCAGTTCCATTGCACACTTGAAAAGACTTTTTCGTTTTAATAAAATACTCATAAAATTTTCTATGGCAACTGCCGCCTCACCGGTGCTGCATGGAGATAGTGCGGGAAATTTTAAATTATTTAAAACTTTTCTCTCCGAGCTTGGTCTGCAGAAATGTTTGTCGAGTGTTGGTGAAATGCTATCACTTCGACATGGATCTGCGACTTCCCATCGAATGCCATGTCCAGGCCAACACTCCTAGCATACAGATTGAGGTCTTCAGCGATCTCTTTCTCCTTCTGTGACCTCTTCTTCATCGTTCCACATTTCTCCCGCTGGTAGTGTGCCCACAGCTCGATCAACTTCCCCTCCATCTCATCATTGAACACAACTTTCGGCATGCTGAACTTCATCTTCTCAAACTAGCTTCAACGCGACAGAAGGAAACAAACAACGTGCAACTACTCAAAACAAGGAACAAATCGAAAGTAAAAAAGAGCTGACGACAAGAGTCAAGAAGTCTCACGGAAGGACAGGTGCAAAGCAAACTACGGTCCAGAAATGCAAATAAAACATAAACGCGCCTTTGTATACCCGTCTGGAGTTTGCTGAATACGTTTGCGCAACATTTTAGGTTTCCCGCGAAAAGCAGACCGTTTGCATGGTAACTTTTACAGGAACGCAACAAAAATGGGATTTTCTATGTAGTGTGCAAGGGGCCTTAGCAAAATCTGACAGCTCAGATCACGTAACTGAAGGGCCTAGGTATACCACTCCATTTCTTGACGTGCTATGGTTTGATAATACTCGACGCAAGAAAATACTTCTTATGTAACCTAATACACATCAGCAGGTAGCCCGGCTAGCTCAGTCGGTAGAGCATGAGACTCAGGGTCGTGGGTTCGAGCCCCACGTTGGGCGCTGACTTTTTGCTTTCCGTTTTTTTGGTACAGAACAGCAATCTCATAAGTAGCTATACATGTACTACGAGTCGTAGAATGCTACAGTCCATTTCAAAACTATAGACGCGTACCTAGGCAAAAACCGTTATGCCAGCATCTATACCACATAAAATCTGTGATCACTTTGTGCATAATTTTTTCCAAATTGGGCGTCTGTTATCCAATCCTTTAGAAACTATATGAGAGTAATTGTGGAGCGATCCTGAGCAATATTCCGAAAACTATTCTCAAAAAGTTCCAGCCAAATTTGAAATATTTCAAAAACCCTACGCGTCTATAGTTTTGAAATGCACTGTAGTAGATCACTACACGAGATGAATTGTGACACATAACTTACCTTCAGTGTGCCCTCATCGGTGACCATCGGCACCTGCATGTCTTTCAGGCCTTCAAAGGCAACACGTAACAATGCCATGTCGTCCCACCGTTCAAACCAGTTCACCGACAGGGCTGAAGTCAGTAGCTGCGGGTGTGATAGGCAGACTTGACGAAACAGCTGGCCGGCGGAGCTTACCGCTACCACTATGTGAATATGGCGCATGGCACACTGTGGGAAGAATAATAAAGACGAAGCGGGCAGATCATCACTTCACTGAACTAGATGGGCAAATAGACACCTCTTAAAAGTTACCGTAAATAAAATTACCCAATTACTTCGGAAGTAGTTGCAAAATGAACCAAAAGTGCATACGTTAGCTAGCAACATGCGTGGGTGGCAGTAACAAGCTTCATCACGACCGACATACCCGCAAACACGGAGATTTCAACATAAAAACTCCTGAACATTTTGAAAGACAGAGACCGGACATTGTGGCGATAGTATGCACTCTGCACAACGCAGGGATCTATGACAAGTAAAGGACATTGCTTACTATTTCAAAAGCACAAAAATAGACCGAGTCCTAAACTTGGCTGAAACAATTCGTTTCTGCGAATAAAAGGTATGGCAGCAATTCAACGGCAAATGATGAGAAGCCCGATGGCATCAAACAATACCTCCAAAAGCTCAAACACTTGTACAGTCAGACCTCGCTTAACCGCACACATCTGTTTTCCACAAAAATATCCGGATAGGCGAGGTAACCGGATAACTGAACGCACATACTGTACATGCATGTGGCATGTCAAAAGCAGTGACATCATACATACATGTACATGTAGACAGGTCCTATGCAGTACAACTAGCATTATGTAAAACAAGCGAGAAAATGACAAGTGCATGCAACTGAGTGCTGTCCGCACACACCCAGCAGGTCAAGGACCTCATTTGCTTGTACAACTCCTTGATACTAGCTTCTGCAAGCGCTAGCCAGCCACATGCAACCGGATACGACGAAGCATTTTGTACACATTTTAACCAGTTTGTACACAAAATCATGCACCGGTATGCGGATCGCGAGGTCCGGTTATGTTGTATGCATAACATATGCTGCACATCGGTAACCAGCGATTTTCTTCCGGATGGCGAGGGATCCGGATAAACGAGGACCGGATAAACGAGGTCTGACTGTATTGGCAGAAAACGAGTGCACACTTCGGGATTTTGAGGATTCTTAAAAAAAATGGGCCTGTCCGGGATTTGAACCCGGGACCTCTCGCACCCAAAGCGAGAATCATACCCCTAGACCAACAGGCCAACCACATGCTTCTTTAGTTGCTGCAAAGTCATGACTATACATCTCTCATACATTGCAAACAATGGCTGCAATTACAAGTATGGAGAAACACCCTGGATCAAATTGATCTCTAAGTTCGTGTGACTGTCGCTCAAACCCGCCTATGATATGAGAGACTTACCTTTTCTTTTTACCTTTTCCATTGAAAAAATAAAGTTAAATCTTTACATACTTTTCTGCGGAGTTGCTTACCAATGGTGCTCAGAAACTCTTCCCAAATCCTTTCCCTTCCAATGAACCCATAGGCTAGTTACGACATTGCTACCGAAAAGCTACAAATTACATTACATCAGTATTCACATTCGTCATTTGCAAGTTTCGTCAAAGTGTCGTCTCACCTCCTTCAACTTTTCCTCATGGTCAGGTTCTGCTGTCATAGACTTGCTACTGGCGGGCCTCTTTGTTTGCGAGGGCTGATGGCCACTAGCGGGCCTCTTTGTCTGCCTGGGCTGATGGCCACTGGCGGGCCTCTTTGTCTGCCAGGGCTGATGGCTACGTCGCTCTGCGGCTTGCACTAGTGCCTCGGCTTCCAAGTGCTCAATTATGCCCGGCAGCCAACCATGCTGCATCACTGTGGTGACGGCGTCCAAGTGACTGAGCTGAGACTGGGAAAGGAAATCATGACAGCAAAACGTTGGCAAAGTATGTGAGGGTGTGCACTGAGGCGAGGATCTGAGGAGTCAGCACGGCTGCCATGGCCGCTACCTAAGCGCACCTTGAGAACCAAACTGTGTACAATGTCATGTATGCATTACTGGCCAAAAAGGAACACGTGCTGCAGGGTGCCGAAGAACGATACATCGGAGAACAGGCTAGATTTTACCAGGCGCAGAATACTCGTATGTACAAATACGTGAATACGTGAATTATTCATAGGCGTATGGCGTAGACTACAACTCTGACCCCCCCCCCCTCCCCAGTTCTTCGGCACAAGGCATTACTGTATGCCAACTTAAATGGACTGTGATTTTAGGAAAACATACATAGCAACAGCGCCGCACGGTCGAAAACCTGGTCAGGGCAGTTCTGCCAGGGGTCCTACCTTGGAGAGCTGTGCAGTGGATACAAAGATCATTGTGCCCTTATCCTCGCCGACAGCACGTCGCACTGCGTCTCGGTAGCAGGTCTTGAATGCGGCCTGCATGTCACCGGTACCGCTGCCGCTGACTTCACTCCACTCCAGGTGGTCCATTAGTGCTACAAGCCGCGCTACCGATGCCCTGCCTGTGCCCACCAATCCAATCTAAGCACAGATGAATAGCAATCAGTGGCCACTCAACAATAGTCATATACAACATCCGTGGATGCCTTCAAACTGATACAGTGATAGTTCCGCTGATTACACCCCCCCCCCTCCACCCCCGGCATGTACAGCTAAGCTGATGATGAGGTGAAACGCAGCCAGTGGTTGACACAGTGTTCTGGCAGTATACACTATATTGGTAGTCCTGAATGCTAGAGCTATTGATAGCTTGATGCACTAACAAAGCATTCATGAAAATAGCACTCATATCCGTCTTCTACCAATCTCCCGACACCCCACACACAGAGACACGAAACCGCCGCCATTGCTGCCACCACCACCACCACCACAACTGGACGTGCGCCACACACACACACACACACACACACACACACACACACACACACACACACACACACACCTACACATACATAGACATGTCCAAAGCGATATCTAGGAGATGCTAACAGGGCAAGCACCGTCACCATGCTGGAGGCCAGCAGTTGACCAAGACGTACCAGAACGGCATGGCCTCCAGGCTGATTCATAGCGCGAGACAGACGTACAACATGCCTCGAGATGGTGTCAAAGAATACGAGCGTCAAGGGCTGAAGACAAGACAGCATGCAAAGAAGCTCATTTTCAATCGATAGGTGCAACACTTGGCTAATTGACCCTTGGCTTTGGTGCTGCATTGATCAAATTACATGACAGAAATCGCTGCACGGTGAGTATTAACTGTTAGATTTCCAACACAACGCCAATTCCATTTCACCGATCACTGCTGTAGATATACCCCTTCATTCATTCCGAGTACAGTTACTAATGTAGCACCAGCCAGGAGAAGGTTCCATCCAGGCACTGACTGTGCAATGCCATGACACTATGTGACACTATCTTCAATATTCGGAGGCTTGGCTGCAGCCAACTAAGTGACACTATGCGGCATTATGTGACTTCTGCCATTGGTTCGCCACTCTTACCTGTACTCCCTTGGTCAAGTTGTACTGCTCTTGGCATTGTTTCAGTGCGACATTCAGCACAGTGGGATCTGCAACCGTGGCCAGGTTGCGAGGAGGTGGACTTAGCGCAGCATCTAGAAGGTCCGTAACCACCCTCTCATCACGCAGAAATGATTCGCGGACAACCAATACCATCTGAAAGGAAGAGCAGAAGCACGAGAGTGATGTAAAAGTAAATGGATAGTGCGCAGTTTACATGCAGCTAGTTATCCATGTTTATAATAGGCGCATGGCCACCTATAATAATATGATGATGAAGCAGTAGTATAGTAAGCAGTTCACATGATTCAAAACATGAGGCCAGTTGAAGTCCCTGCATTCACCCTGAACATGCACACGCTCTTTATTTGCCTTACTTCAAAAATGACACGTAACATGTCATCATGAATCTCTGTGAACTTCTTTAGATCCAGGTGATCATTGATCCGGTCACGGAACGTGCAGCGCAGGGCAAAGGACAACAGCTTGATGGCCGATTCCCTGTTGTCCATGATTGAGGAGGTGGCACACCGTAATCCAAGGACAGCCTGTCAGCAAGGGGCCAATGGACACACGCACATAAGTCAAACCTGTCCCTGCGGGCACCCGAGAAAAACAGACACTTGTAAAGCGAGGGCATTCCGTTGCAATCCCATTGATTTTGGTGTACATTTTAGTAGGTGCGGGCACTTGAAAGTGCGGCCACCTGTGAAATAAGAAATGCGGACACTCCGGCGTGCCCACATCACTGTCCGCGCTGTACTGATCTGAGACTGACAAAAGCACGCAAGTTGACTGGGGTTAGACATCCACTCTGTACCATGTGTACGAGATTGCATCGCAGGAAGTGTGATGGTTGCATTTATTGGAACAAACAAAATGACGTGAACGTTCGCCCTCAGTCCCCTGGGCGTACGTAATTACCAGCCTGTCCGACTGTGGTGTTTGCGGGTGGTAACAGTTGAAAGATTTACAATTCCATTACTGGAAGAGCCACACTGTTGGGAGGATATGAACTTCCGAATAGAACATTGCAAAACAGTATGATTATGGTTGAGCTAAAAACCCTACTTCACAATCATGGACAATGTATTTACGATCTCTCAAAACTGGATAGATGTACATGTCCGTACAATAAATAGAAGTACATGTACAAATAGTCAGTATCTGTATGTATCTCCTGACATGAGCACACACGTACCTTGTTGATGTCTCGAGAGTCAAAAATGTAGTGCGGTCTGGATGGCGTGGGGTGCAGCTCCTTTTGGATTCGCTCGCACACGTACACAACGCCGTTGACCAGTGTTGGGACCAAGTTCATCAGCTCCAAAGAGAACTTGTCCGCCCACTGCAATCGCAGGATGCAGGCGTACAAGCCCTGTAGTGTTTTCGTGTCCAGACCCCGGAGATGAACTGAACTGTATGAGCATGGGAACATCACAGTGAGAGAACATTGCGCAATAGTGGTTAAACTTTTCTAATTGTCCGCAAACTCCATTCATTAACCTGATGATGGGCCAGGCCCAAAAATTTGGTGTAATGTAAATCTTAATTTTAATTTTAATCGCAGTGAAGAGACAGTTTTTGGAGTTTGGAGTTGAGAAGTGGAAGTCTCCTAAAAGGAATAGTGGTTAGTAAAGATATTTGCAGATGAGCAATATCCGGGGAGCTTACCAGAAGTGACGTAAGAGACGTGGAGATAGCTTTGCATGGGATTTACACGTGGCCACCACAGCACAGTCTTCCAGCATCTGCATGGGGCACAACACATGGAGAGGATCACACACGCACAATGTACTTCCTCCGCGCCACCGCAATGCGCACTTATCTTTGCCACGGTATTTTTTTGTCATTTCCCCTAAAGCTGGCCACATTCCCATTGCTGACAGGATCGGTATAAACTTAAGACAGGTGTTGGTTTCTTGTATGCCAATGTGTTTCACTAGCGCGTAAGGCCATTCATGGCACCATCCTGATAACTGGTTCACACAATTCATGAAATGTCATGGTATGGCTGAGGCAATCCAAACGCCTCCCGCCAAGCTGCCTCACACTGTAGACCTAAGTAACTACCTTCGCTGCGATAAGCAACAAGCACAATCTTACCATCCAGTTGCTTCGTCTGTCATAGATGGTACCGGTGTCCAGGTACTGTCGCACGGTTTCTGTCACCAAACCACTGCTGGACGGCTCGGGAATGTGCAGGTCCTCCACGGCTAGGAGCAACTATACACGCACAGACACGGAAGACCGAGCGCAGGTAAAAACAGCAGTAAAACACGTTCCACTGTCCAAATACATGTTATGCAATTCTAGTCGAGCATGCTTCTTATGCAGCGTATGCGGGTACCAGTTTGGAGAGGTACCTGAAAGAAACACATCATGACTCTACATGACTGTACAATAAGAATGATGAGAGAGGTCACACACCAAACTCTACTAAAAGCAACACACGCAAGTGCACGCTTAGCACTTGGCTGTACTCACGCGCTGCTTTCCTGCCGGCGGCACGTAGACCTTTCTCTGCTTCTTGACGACGGACCGCATCCAGCGCTGCCGCAGAGTACTCGGCGTTGTGCTCAATGTACAGTGGGCGATGTTTGAAATCCAGGAAGCACTGGGACCCGATGGTTCGTCGTCCGAAGCGTCATCGTCCTTCACCTCCAGCGTGGGCTCCGGTGCGATGGTAGCTCGCAGTGCGTGTACCATACGGTAGTTACTGTGGCTCAGGTAGGATTCTACCAGGTTCTGGTGACCGTCAAAGCCGTCCGAGACCGTGCAGAAGCGCGCCATGCAGCGCTGCAGCAGCATGCTCTTGCCAGAGCCAGGCTCGCCGGTGAGCAGCACAGATCTCCGTTGCCGCAGCAACAGGGCCACGATGACGGCCGTGCGCGCCGTCTCGGGCGTGGCCAGCAACAGGTTGTCTAGAATGCGCGTGTCCGCGAAGAGAGTGTCGAAGAAGTTGTGCGTGTTGAAGACCTTGCCCGCGAGAGGATCGTACGTTGGCAGCTTGGTGCAGTCCATCTCCGGAATGTATTCGTTCCACTTGATAAACTGGCCCAAGTCGAAATCAAGCACATAATCAATCAGGCGTGATGGTTGTGGTGGGAAACGCACGCCAAGTGGCGGTGAGCCACTGAGGCGATTCCGCACGTGCATGTCAAATATCACAGGCAAGTTGCTGAGGGGCATCGGTCCACTACCCAGGTTGGTCGTCTCAACCTCAACATCCTAGACCAGCAGTGCAGGCAACCCCAACACACAGCACACAGAGTGAAGAAAGCCATGTAGCAACGACATAAACCATTATAGAAAACACTGACTTCAATAGCCCACTGAGCCATGAAACAATAGCATAAGTACATGTGTATGCGCTTGTTCATGCTATAAACAGGAGCTTGGAACCTCAGTAAAATTTACATGTGCAGGGGAATAATCCCCATGCACAGGTCACAGGTAAGTTTGTTCATGAGAACAGGAGATTGGAACCAGGAAGTAGTAGTACTGCCTAATTGGAACCGGAGCAGGGGAGTCCCCAGCACAGATAAAACTTACCTGCTGAAAGACAGTGCCAAAAGACCAGACATACGCCATTGCAAACATTCTGCCGATCAACGCCATTCGGGCATCTAAGGAGTGCGAGAGGATGGTCACAATCTTGGCCTTCTGCACTCTAGCCTTCCACTTTGACTGGCGTTTGGTCTTGGGCTCGGCAGGAGCATTAGTAGCGTAGCCTCCGTGGCTCTCGACGTACTCCAGGAACCCTGAGAGAAGTGCCATCAGCGTTGTTATCAGGCCTGTCGTTGTCATGGTAACAGGCATGACGTGCTTGTAACGCTCAACCAGTGTAATGCCGCTGTCCACCACCGCTTCAAACAAGCCGTTCAGCTGCTTGCGGTCGTCGTCCGTCAGCTGTGCAACAAAAGGAGAGCCACATCCATTCATGTTTTGGAATATTGTATTCCTTTGTTTCCTATTCTGCTGTTGCATGCATATTAGCAGGTCATTGACCCCGCTCGTTCCTCATTCTTCATTCCATTTGGCTTAAGCGAAGACTAGCCAAGTCAACGCAAAAAGGCTGATAATAATAACATCCATTCATCCTCTAGTGGGTGGAGTGCGACATGGTGCTCAAGTGGAGAAAGACAGAGGTCTGACATCAATAAGAACACTGTAGAGCTGCAGAGCTGGTGTAATTCTAGCATCAACAGGAGTGGCCCGATCCATAACAGTTGTATATGATGACGTAGTGCTATGCACAACTGCATAGCTGTGTCGTATGGACATGCGTGAGACTACGAGAGACAAGCGACAGAGGCTACCCATACCTACCCCCATGTACACTCCAGTCCACAATGTATGCTTACCGATTTGGGCAAAGACTGAAGCCATTTCCTGACAAGAATCCTCCAGTCCAACTCACCAGAGTCCTGCACCAAACACATGCAACATGCCCCCCAAAATAGAAATAAATCACGGTTCGCATGAGGCTCGGTCAGACTGAATTTTCCGCATGCATGTACACTGGAACGCCGCCATCCTCAATGTGACCAAGAAGGGATCATAATGGCACCAACACAAATGTAATATTCTTCTTTGCTGCGGCACTGCTAATGCTGTGATGCACTGCACAAGCCACACGCATGGACAGTACACTGCAGTGCTGAAGAAAATGCAGCGCAGTGGCACGGAGAACATGTGCACTATTGTATTCCTTCATTGTCTGACTACGGTGTACGTGTGTACGTGGAGATGGACATGTAAGCGGTCAACCTTGCATAATCTAACTTGCGACCTGTTTGTTACTGAGAAATCAGCCACATGGCATCCAACATGGACAGACAGAAATGTACACGTACACGTCCGACAAAAACGTACAACTCACCACGTAGACCATGCCACAGCGGCTGATCGTGGCCGGTGAGGCGTTCTCCAGGTCATCCACCTCAAAAATAATCCGCATGCCGGGCACCAGGTAGATGCGTTCACCGCTGGCCAGCGACAGCATCTTGGTGTCATCCAGGGTTGTGTTGAGATTCTCAATCCAACTACTGTCTACCGGGCCGTCGAGGACTAGCCAGCGCCAGCCGTACGGGGCAACACTCTTATCAAACTCCATGTACTCCTCGGTGGAATGTTCGCCGCTGACGGAACCTGCGGTGGATTGCGCTGTAGTTTTACGCGAACCCCCGCCGTCCCTCCTGCCGGGATTTCTGGCAGCTTTCTCTTCTTGCTCTTTCTCGTAGGGTAGGTAAACCTTGGCAGCCTGGCTGAGCTGCTGTTCAAACAAGCGCACAACACGCGTGACAAGTCCATCGCATACCACCGTTCTGGACTTGTCCGCTGCACCGTACAGGTCCTTGATGGACATGCACTTGGGATGCACAGTGGCACAGTCTATGCCCTTGTAGCGTCTCTGTCAAGTACAAAGCACAGCCACACAAACGCAGATTTCAGATGCAAATTTGTGAATCAGCCCTCTCCAAATTTGCAAATGATGATTGTCCACAGGCATGGTTACTACTACTAAGCAGGTTCCTGAGACTTGACACTATCATACAAGCAACAATGGTTTCACAATAGGGAACACAAGATCCACACCTTTGTCGATGTCCTCTTGATGTCGGATGGCAGGACAAACTCATCGGGCCGATTGGCGTCGTCCAAGTAGTCCAGCTTGGTAGTCTTGCGGTGTGCTTTATGCTTTGAGAGCAGGGCATCTAGCAGCCTGGCACGCACAGACATGACTTTATCCAGTGCCCCGGCCAAGACTTTCAAAATGGTAGATTTGCCTCCACCTGATGACAAGAGAATAGCCAAATGGAAGATGCATGTAGAACGTACCAACTTCATCCACCAGTGGGTTATATCCACCACGCTTTTCAACTGTTAACGAGTATCGAGTACGACCCTGAAAAGTAAGTGACAAGTAATCGGCATAATTGTTCCACCTCTAGTTTTAATAATTTGGGTCCATCCGTATACCAACACTGGTGTGAGAACCTTCTAAGCTGTGTGTAGGGCAAACAAGACCTTCCAGTTATCATGTGATCTTAGCAGTGCTGATTGTACAACTATACCAAAGCTAAACCAAGTATCTAAGTAGGTATGATCACTACAAGTTGACTCGCAGAGCAAGTAGCATCAAACACACAGGTAGTGAGGTCAGCCTAGCTAGACATTGCTCCATATGCTGCCACACACAAGACATCAGTAAAGAGGTATCCCTATACACGAGATGCACTTTCCCAGTAACTTGCCACACATAAGGGCATGCTTTTGCACATGCACACACACACGCACATACACACACACACACACACACACACACACACACACACACACACACACACACGCGCACATACACACACACACACACACACACACACACACACACACACACACACACATGTACGTACCGGCGGGACCTATCAACATCAGACCGTGCCTGACGTGCATGGTGTTGTGCAGCTGCAGTGCCTTTGCCAACTGCTTGCCGTCCTCGACAAGATCAAGAGCGCGAATAGAACTCAGCAGAGCATGCTGCGCACATCAATACAGCAACACAGCCCGGAAGGCAACAGCAATGTCAAAGGATTCGACACAACACAATACGTGTACTGTGAAGCCAGCATTATCAAATGTCTAATGTCCTCTGAACGACCTTGAAGTATACTGGAATTTGCTAACCATTTCAATTCCAACACGGGTAGTTGCCTAGACATGCTATGGTTACAATACAAAAAGCCATTGACCGTGGTTGCCAAACAAGTTGTCTTAAATGCACAAACTCCTACATCGTGACCAAAATCCTGCATGTGCCCAAAGATGGCATACTCGCTACTTCCTCCCTGCAATGTGGGTGTATATGTGTGTTCATTGGCAGAAGGCAAAGTTCAAACACCATTGCACACACACTCACATGTGCATGCCAGCACGTGTGTGCACGCACACACACCACACACACACACACACACACCCACGCACACGCACACACGTACACACACACACACACACACACATCACCTCTCTCCCCCCCCCCCCCCCCCCACACACACATGGCTCACCTCCAGCAGGCCACTAGTGGACGGTGACACTGTGGTCTTGGGAAAGAGAGCCGTCACCAGCGAGGAGAACGTGGGCATATCTGCCGCGATGAGCTTCGACTGATTTGTCTCATGCAACGCATCCACAATGATCTGCGCCTCCAGTGCTGAGAGAGAAGAGACTTTCTGTCCCGACCTACATGTTCGCATGGACATGTGCATGGACAGAAGATGTGCAGACCATAGGTCAATGCTCTAGTAACATAATTAGTTACATTGACCTTCTGTTGGTTTTCTTGCCCTCAGCGGGAATACACGAGCACGCACCAGCACATTGTGCATAAGCGGAAATGCAAACCATCGTTCAATTCATAATTAACCCAGCTTAGAACATGCCTGCTGGCGATTTTCCAGCACAGTGCCTGTTCACATACCTGAGAAACTCCTGCTTCTTCTTGCCCGCTACCATCAGCATTGACTTAATAGCACGGAGACCGAAGTCATAGTGTTGCTGCGACAACGAAACCAACACACATGCCAGGTTTTATCGAAGAAAGGAGAAATGTAGTAAACCCTGCAACAACCAGCACACACACAATCATGATCTTGAGTACAGCTATCGTGGTCTTACCGCCTTGGAGAAGGCCGCTGCTGCGGAGTCATACAGCTTGACCACCTTCTTGGCCAGAGCGGGAGCACTGCGGAAACCGACAGAGAACAGCACGACTTCCATGATGGAGCCGGCGTCGGGTACTGTCATTGCGATCGGTCGGAAGTACTCCTTCAGATTCTGCGGCAGTTCCACGCGACCGCGATACCTGGGGGCAAGCAGTAAACATAAACAGCATATTTAACCCGCATGGAGAACTGGAGCAGGGACTGACAAATACCATAGACAATAGCTCCACCTGCTCAACATGCTGGTTGTCACTCAATCATCTATAATGAGCAAAGCTATGTAAGAGGTGTGAAGAGCTCAGGAAAGCTCTGCAAATCCATTGCAGAGCTGTGTTAAAGTTACTATAGGCCGTAGGTTACAGTAGGTCCACCCTTCTCTAAACTTGCTGCCCTCTGCCGATTCTCTACCTCGAATTCAACACACGTCAAATTACAACACCGAACCAATTCATGTGCTCTGCTCTACGTAATACATGTACACGCAAGTGGAGGTATTCCTGATACCAGAATACATGTTAGTGTCAGTATTTCTAATACCAGATTGCCAATGTACAGCACAGTGACACATACATACACGAAAACAACTGCTGCCAAGTACATGTAGTACCACACCACCCATACCGGAGAAGTAGACATATTACCAACCAGCAGGAACCAGCTTACATCCAGTTGCTGCCTTTTTTCTTTCTTTTCTTTTTACGAGAAGCTACGAACCTCGAGAACAGAACACTGCATGATAGGTGGCTGCAGACACAACTGTGGTGGTGAAACTGGAGCATCTCCGCCGACCTGAGGTCTCGGCTTTAGCGACACTTCAGTGCACCAAAAAGTGGGGAGGAGTAGGCACAGGGGGAGGGGAGTTCTAAAGATGAGCCCCCCCCCCCCATTCTCTCTCTCTCTCATCTGTCTACCCTGTCTCCTATCATATTGATTGCTTACCCTGGGTTGTTGGTAACAAAGAATGCCGATGAAAGATCCAGTTCAATGTCACTGCCATTGAACAGGAATCTAAACACGTGAACATGGGGAAAGCAACACAAAACACAGGATTCTTAGAGCATTACCGGGAAACTTAAAGTGCTGTTTGACTTCAATTCAATGTTCCAATAACTCACCAAAGGATAAGTTGTGAAAGCAGCTCTGCCCCTCCTCCCAGGGAACAGCACCCGTTTCTGGCTGTTTAATGTTAGCACCGACAATTCATCCCGGAATGATGTCGACACTGCAAACACTTGATAACTGGCATCGTAGTGAAGTCAATAGTTTCAATAAAGTTTCATGTAGTGTTCAAACGCATCTCAGTGTGCAATTACTATAGCGAAATGGTACCCGTCTTAGATATCAGCCTGTGTCAGACATTCTGTTTGTGGCTGATTTTCAGGGCTCAAAAGCGTCATCATGGTTCTAGATTTATCACCAAATCGATTAGCTGTTTTAATGAATCCCTCCATCAGTTTGTCCCTGTAAACATCGCAGTTTGGCGGCACACACATTGGTAACCCTGATCAGAAGCAAATAGGGTTTCTAGATGAGGTGTGTTTGTCCTAAAGCAGGGTATCTTAATGACTTCCAACTAGGACTCCTGGCATTTAGGAGCTCATGTCGCTCACAAGCTTACCTCGTATAGCGGCATTGCTTGGCCACCTTGATGGCACGAAGCATTGTTGAGACGACGGACAGTACTTCGAGCTCAATGCGGTTGAACTCGTCCATGCAGAGCCAGGCGCCGGTTTGCACCATACCGGAGAACCAGCCACCGAGCATCTACACAGTTACCAGGCAGATAAGCAGACAGGGCAAGTGAAACAAGTGGTCTAGTCTGTGGGTGATAATTAGTCTGTTCTCTCCGGAGATTGATGATAAGTATGAGAGAGGGAGGGGATGTGCATGTGAGAAGCACAGCCTTTGCTATGCCAAGCTCATAGAAACAACATGTCAACAGCAGCTCTTGTACCTGCAGTCAAAACTGACCATTTCACGGGCCACTTTGACCATAACATTGTGCCCAGCGAAGCCAAAACAGGACTACGGCATGGTGCAGAGTGCAAATGAATTAGATCCTGGCAAAGGAGACAGCATCCTGCGACTACTGCGTATGTATCCAAATTTTGACAAAAAGCATTGAAACATTGCTATTGAAGAATGCGCATCACCGTGAATGCATTCCGTGAATACCTATGCACTTACACTATAGTCCAGTTCCTCAGAGCAGTTGAACACGACACAGTACTTGCCAGCTGCCTGAAATGATCACAAGCATACATGTAGAAGGCACGTTGAAAGGAGCATTGGGTAGAGGCCTGATTGGGTAGAGGCCTGATTGGGTAGAGGCCTGATTGGGTAGAGATAACTCCTCTCTAGACAGGATGGTTTCAACTAAACAGTCCTGAGGGCTTGCACCTACATGTATGGCCATATTTCAGTGGTCGGGAAAAGAACTTATTTGTTCAGTTCCTTTCTACAGTGGAGTTGATCAGATACATGACACAGTTTACAAACGAGCAATCCAAGCTATTAACACTCATGTCCGCTTACCTTTGCAAGCTCCTTCACACTTTCCGTCTTGCCTGTTCCGGCAGGGCCCGACGGTGCGCCACCAAGGTTCTGCTTCAGTGCCATCATCATGGTCAAGAAGCATCTGTCTGTCAGCGGGGTGATCACAAGTCCAGGAGCAGCACCAACAAACTCCATGCAATAACGCACTGCGGTTCGCCACTGACACAGAGCCAGGTCGGTTTTCTCAGCAGATAGCGAGTAGTCATACTTGAGTGTTCTGTGAGGCAACAACAATCAATACATGTATAACCATCAACACATGAGAGGGAGAGCAGTTGTAAGGGAGAGGGAGAGGGAGAGGGAGGGGGAGGGAGAGGGAGGGGAGAGGGGGAGGGGAGAGGGAGAGGGAGAGGGAGGGAGAGGGAGAGGGAGAGGGAGAGGGAGAGGGAGAGGGAGAGCGCTGGACTCATTAAGGACCGGATAATTACACCAAGCAATTTCACTCAGGCTGGTACAGTGACAGGAGCAGTGGAAAATTGATAATGGTACAATGTAGTGAGTTTCTCCTCGCAGTGCTGATTGGTAACTACTATACTGAGTGTGTGGCACAGTGATGATTGGTAACTCACCTCTCCCAAAGGAACCGCTGCTCTCCGAGTTGCGCCTCGCTGATCAAGCTCTTGATGACATCGCGCAGGTGCACCTCCACCGTAATGAGATTGGTCAGGGTGTTGCGATGGTTTGGCTTCATGTCGTTGAGGACGAGCTCCGATAGCTGCACCAGGCGCTGTCGCCACTGGGACTTGAGAGCCTTCATGCGGTCGACATTAGCCTCACCGAGCACTGGCTCCACTGCACGTGCCCATTGCACTTGGCACTAGCAGCATCAGCAACAGCAGAATAAGACAATGTATGTATAGAATCCTGCCCACAATAAACAATACATAAGATTGACTGAAATTAGTGGTCACCAACACATATTGAACCAAATGTCAGACAAAACGGTCTATATTGGGGAGAAGGACGAAGAAAAGATGAGATGGGAAGGCCCGGCGGGGGGGGGGGGGGGTGAGAGATAGAGCAAGAGCAAGCGAGGTTGGTCAAGTGTGGTGTGTTCAATGAAGACTACGCAGATCCTGCCAGTGGCAGTTCTAGACTCACGGCAGGATATAAACTTGATTTTGTCAAATGACAAAGTGCAGAACTTACAGCTACAGTCACAGCCTGAGAAAGATTGCCTTCGAGGTACTCCATTGTAGGTTCCATTTCAAACGTCTGAATTGCCGTGGCAACACCTCTGAAAAACGAAAAACAAGACGGCTTGCAGTGACTGCCACGAAACATTTCCAGGGACCTCGACTGACATTGCAAGTGTGCTACCAATGCAGTAATGGCCTCTACGAGTCGTACATGCACGCTATACCCATATCCTTGGAACAGACACATCAGCACAAGTAAGTTGTTCACTGGAACATCAGAAAGATCGAGTGATGCACCAGACGGCATGGACACAGAGCATTCAGATTTGAGGGATTTTGTCTTGTTTTAAAAATAATTTTGTTCCGGAGCTATAGCAGTTCACTGTACTGTACTGACTTGCTGCAGCAATGCTTTGCTTACTTGCTCACTGCTAGGCGTAGTGTTCGGCTCAGCCTCTCCATCCAGCCTGTGACTTCGCCCCGAGCCAGTAACTCACTGCACACAGCACAGTGAGACATTGCAGTAAAGAACGCGTGCACACATAAAGAAACAAATCGCACAATACTGCGTAGCCACGTGCATTACACATGATAGGGGTATCCCCTCGAGAAGAGACACAATACACAAACATGTGCCGAAACAAAGTGCACTCAGTTCAAGCTTTGGAGAAAATCGTTCCCCTCTATATCAGCCAGAAATCATAGTTCAACTGGAACAAACCAGAGAACAGAACTGGAGGTATCACTATTCCTAATACTAGAAATTACCACTCCAGCTTGAGTATTTCCCCTTCGTGTGAAGTAGCTCCACCAACAAGAAGGTTTCCTCCAGCCACTTGCACCCACATGAAGTCGCGGACGTTGAAGAAACACTTCCTAAGGTGGACCTGGTGAAGGACGATTGAAAATACAAAATCACAGAACAATGGCGGACCAAGCTCTGGTAAGAAACAAGAATACAACAGTAGATAGTGTGAACAAAAAGGCGAATCCGTTTTTCAGGCTGGCGGGAGTTGAGCTACACCTACTGAAAATGTGCGCCAAGCCGAGGAAAGTGAAAATGCATTCCGGGCACATTTTTTACATTGGTTGCTGCATGACTAAGGCTGGGAAAAATGTGGGGACCCACTGACCGGATCCGACAGCCCAGCTTATTGTGATGAAACACACACACACGCGCACGCGCACACACACACACACACACACAATTCTTTCTTTCTCCACTTCTGTTCTCCCTCCCCCCTCCCCCCCCCCCCCCCCCCTCTAATGATTACCTCCACAGCCTGAGGGTTCTTCACATTGGCCAGAAGAGCTGTGAGCTCTTCGTCACTGAGAAAGAAGAAGCGGGGAAATCCCATCCTCTTCGTCTCCAAGTAGTCCTGGGTGATAATACGCACACAAAGCACAGAGAAATGCACACAGCTTAGCCACCAAAATGTGAATCACTGATGGATGGGAAACTCTACTGTTAGCAAGGTCAGGCACATTCCCAGTTCAAGGACTTCTATGTCACGCTTGGCCCATTGAAAATCGATGATGTAATGGCACAGAGACCTGACTCCATTTTCGATTTTTACGGGAGACATACAAAACTGACCTGCGTTTGAACTTCGTTTGTGCAGTCTCTTTGCTCTTTGGGCGATTTCAACTTTCTAGTCCTTTGGTAAGGATATGGAGCAATGCCTCCACCCGTTGGTGCGACGTCCAGACGTTTCTCCGTCGACACGCTGTCTCGCGCTTTTTACCAATATACGAGGGCGGGTTTCGGCTCTTGCGCCTCTTGTTACGCCTTAGGTTGTTGCCGCATCGTGCTCAGCACCCCCCTAATCCTTTGGACTACCAACTTTCATTGGCGTAGCAGTAGGCGACTCCGAACTGGTATAGCTATGATCAAGCGTGGAGCCAGTGGCAGTGGAGCCTGGAGGATCGTTTTGTGATATGGCTCCTGACTCAGTAACTGGCGTGTGGGATCGTTTTGTGATAATGACTCCTTACTGGTGTGCTGGATCACCATGTCGAGCATGGGGCCATGGACAAGCAAGATAAAAGCAACCGAAGCAAGCAAACCGTAGCCAGTTTGATGTAGATTTCCTTGCGGCTGGTGTGTATTCGTACTCGAAGCTTGTGGGAAAGCAAGGCAATGGCTACTTCTCCTTCAGCCTCAGCCAGCTCAGGTACTAGTACAAGTACTGATTTGGAAGGCTATGACTTCCTTGCAAAGTTGTGTCCAAATGTATGTATGAACGATTTTAAAGATGGGTACCCTTTGCCAACAGTTGTGGTTTGCAATGGATTAGTATTGGATTTAGTCAAACTCGCCACACCAGAAAAAATTGGCAATGAACAATCATATAAGTGGTTGATGGACCTTCATGGACTAGCTAGGTCAGAGTTCCCTAGGCAAGAAGTAGCTGCACTACTTTCATCGCTGAACCGAGTAAAAGAGAAGCACCGGAGGAAGGAGGAAGGGGTTAACTTCCCCTTTAAAATGTATCAAGACGTCGCAACACGTTTGGCTGACTTGCTGGATGGAAGTGCTGTGCCGTTCCCGGATGTGCATGTCAACAGGGGCTGTGAAGTCTTCACCTCTCTCGTGACGCCCTCCGCCAGAGACCAAGGGACCAAGGACCTGCTCCAGCTGCTGTGCACAGCCGTCCACACATACATGACTCGTGAGTGGGCGCAATACCTCACTGGTGCCTCCCGAGCAGTCGATGCTGCTGAGACTGCCTCACTTCCGAAAACGAATGTGATTTTGGAACGTGACTTCGTGCAAATGGACAGATTTCTGCGGGAAAAGCCTAATGCGACGACATTAACCGTCGAAGCTCTAATCATGATGGGCAACAATCGGAAAATCCAGTGACTGGGCGCGAAGTCAGCCAAAGAGAAGACCGGCATCCTTCGGGCAGCCCGAAACTTGGTCGGTGAACACAAGAACCTGGCACGCCAGAGGCGTCAAGCAATTTCCGAGTGCCGGAAGAAGAAACTAGTGGAAAAGCAGGTATAGAGAATGCAGATTCTTCAATCTAGTACCTGTGTCATTATAGCTTGGTGAGTTAAAACCTGAAATAAGTATTCTTTGCATTTGAGGTTTGAACCTATCTTTTCGAGAAACTTTCCTTTTTTCTTCACTTTTTCCCATACTTTAGATGTCTTCTGATTGGCCGAATCTGTGCCATCCCTCTGTCTGCTGATTGGTCCAAACCATTGCTCGTTTCTATGTGAAAGCTGAACAGTCTTGAGTCTTTGCACATATATAAATCTTTGTTTCTAACCAGAAAGATCATTCATCATTCTTCAAGACTACAAGTAACTTCTCCTTGCTCTGGTGAGACTTGTTGGTTGTTGTTGTTGTGTACCCAACCACTTGGGCCACGCTACACAGGCAGCCAAGAACGGGAAATCTGAGTGCTGCGCACAGCAAGTACAGCGGGCAACACTGGCACTGTCGTCTTGTGGTGGCCTCTGGGTTCAGCACAATGACTTGGCCCAGAATTATAATTCTACCTTGCCCACCATCACCAAGAAGCGGGAGGCACTCAGCACCCAGTTGCGGTTCCGTGAGCGCGTTATGAAGCAATCTGCGGACCGGTGCTTGTTATGAAGCAATCTGCGGACCGGTGCTTGTTCATGCTTTCTAAAGGTGGTAAGGCCCTGCCCCTTGACACCATGCAAGGCAACCTGCAAAGGTTAATGGCACTGAGCGCAGCAGCATCCTGGCCAGAGTCAGCAACTGCTTCCTCTGCCTCCTCCGACTCATCTGACGGTGAAGGTTGACACCTCCCAATCTTTGATGAATGTGTTGTTTTTTCACGGCTGAGCGTAGCGAAAGAGTGTAAAAAACGTATTTTTCACTCACCATTTTTCTGTCGTGCTCTGCTGCTCTTCCACTGCGCAACTCTCCCCCACCTGCCATCGTGGTCTTGTATTCCTCGTAGAGTATCGTGAGTACATTCTGGTAGACCACTACCCCATGTACAACCCGGTTGCTATGTGAGTGAAAAGTGACTGTTATGATTATCTACATAATCAGGTCTGTTACGACAAGGCTTTGAAGATTGGGAGTAGGAATTTCTTGTACATACAACATGTATGTGAACAAAGATTAATTTGTCATCCAGAGCTGTCAAACGTATAATCTGTAGTCAGAATTAGCTCGCAACTTAGTACTAACCACCTACAGAAACTTGAGAAAGCGCTTCCTCCCGCATCCACCACTCCCGCTGCCACTAACTTGTCACTAGATCTCAAAAATCTCCATACACCAGTACTGCACTGCAGTAGTGGTTCACAGCAAATACTAGTATTACTACTGCAGATCCTTGAAGACAATTATTCCCTCCCCTGCTAAACATCTGAACTAGTCAGTTTACTCCAAGTGCGATGTCACAGTAGCACCAGCAGGTTACGGCCAAAATGTCAAGCATTTTCCGTGGAGCTAAGTTTGAATTATTAGTTTACTTAGTTCAAAAGAGCATTCAATATCTTCTTCAAATCAGCTCAATCATCTTCAAAGACTTCATTGATTTCAAAGTAGTTCAACGACTCCCAGTCCCCAAAAGTAAAAACTGCAAAAGTAGTAAGTACGTGGTAGGCACTTGTGCACAGCTGAGCTGAGCTGAGCTGTAGCTGTAGCTAGCATAGCAAAGTACACGCACATGACACGCGGGATTACATCATGCACGCTGCATCGCGACTTTGCACCCCGAGTGCCAGGTGCCACTTTTCAAGCTCCCACGCGTACATTCGACAAAAAATCACGTAGTCTGGCTCCTTATAACACCCGTAACTCTCTTCCACCTGCTCTACCTCAGCCCATATTTAAGATTTGAACTCCTGACGCCCTACCAAGCGTTCAGTAGATACCCAATTTGATAGGGTTTTCCAAAATTCAATTTTCGCCTGACCTCACAACTACTGTGTGTACATTCATTGTGTGATGCTTGCGTGGTCTCCGTCTTCTGCTTCTTGTACTTTTCACTAAAACCAGGTTTACCACCCTCTTGCTAGCTGTGCTGCTGCGTGCATCCAACTGTTTTGCAATTTCTTTCTTCCTTGTTGCAATTACTCGGCGAGATTTGAAATTTCTAAAGTTCCGCAGTCGCAGGAGATCCTGAGCCGTCACCATGAGCTCCGTGCCATCACTTTCCGATCTCCGCCAACTCAAAGTCGACGGAGTTGAAACTCGACTGCGAGAACTGGGGCTTTCTTGCTCAGGCAATTTTAGAGCCCAGGTGAGCCGTCTGCATGAGCATTTGTCGGCCCAGGCAAGAAACAAAGCTAAGTCTACGAGCCAGGTCGCAAAAAAGACCACGCGTCGGCGGGCTAGTCCTGCAGTCCCGGCCACTCAAAGCCCCGCGGCCGCGACCCAGCCTGACTCGTCGCCCGCGTTCACGTCGCAGCAATCTGCCGAGATCTCTCGGGTCGTGCAAGATGCAGTGGCGTCCTGCATGACGTCATTGACAACTTCGATGGGTCTACCGGTGGTACCTCCACATGCACAGCCAACTGTAGCAGCAGCAACAGCAGCACAGCGGGCTGGTCCAGTCTCTGGTGATGTTGTGGTGCCTGACTCTGAGCCTGAATATGTCCAGCCTTCACTGGCTTCAGCACTAAGACCAGACCAGGAGAGTCTCTTCCTGGACGGCGATTTGCTCGCCCCAGAGCGTCCACCATCCATCCCATTACCTGCCCTCAGCGACCATCTCACGGACAAGATTATCAAACGTGAGTACGTTGATTTTGGTAGGGTACTGGGAGAGCTGGCTTTTGATACGAGCATGGGTCCGGACAGTGGGTTCACCCTGCAGGGGACGGGGGACCACATCACCCTTGTGCCATCTGCCATGTCGTCGTCATCCCGTCTAAAGAAAGTTGTAGACTTGACATCGTGGTTGGAGGCGTTCTCAGCCTTCGCCCAAGTAGCCCTCCACCACGACCCCGGCAGAGGTCCGGAATTATTCAAGTACCAAAGCACAATCGTGAAAGCGGCCGCACGCTATACATTCGGTGCGTGGTCTGGCTTCGACATGTCGTTCCGTGCAAGAGCTGCACGCAGCAAATCTAGCCTTGCCACGTCAGATCCGGAACTCTGGTCGGAGTGGTTTACAAACTCCATCCTGCCTCCCTGCCGTCACTGCAACCGGCAAGGTCATTTAACAGTTCGCTGCCCCCGCGCCCGTAGCCTAGCTTCACTGTCTGACGGGCCAGCAGCCAAACGCCCCTTTCCGGCACAGCGGTCAGGGGCTACCGCTCACCCAAACGCCCCAGCTGTCTGCCGCGACTACAACCAAGGCCGCTGCCAACGCGCAGCCTGTCGCTACGGCCACCAGTGCAGCACATGCTTTGGCAGCCACCCCGCCAAGTCATGCCCAGG